CAATTTCCTTAGATGGACTATGAAGACGCTTACGTTTAGACACACGGATATCCTTAACAGATTACAAGCATTTGAATGATTTAAACATATTTTCATAATGCTTAAATTTTTCTGTCAGTACCGACAATTCTCTTCCTATTCCTGTAAAACCATTTCTGGTTTGCCCAAATAGCTTGAAAAGATCAACTTCGGTTGCCCTGCCCTTTACGCAAGACCAGCGAAAGCCCTTGCCATCATTAATAGCGTCCAGAATTCTTCCCGTCAAACCAGCACATTTCAGATGGTAAATACCATCACACATCCAGCACGATAAGTAGCGTTCAGAATCGCTTTTAATTTGGCAAGTAACAAGATCACACCTCATATTGAAAGATTTATATAATACACTCGTTAATAAAAGACGAACAAAATAAATTATAACAATTAAGGAGCTGATGTAAATAGCTTTAAATAAATGTAGCGAACAGTTTGAGTATCACTGTAATTATGACACTTAATAAACGCAACGCAAACAGCTGTGACAAGAATTACTAGAAGAAGTAAACAAAAAGAGTAGAACAAGTGTGCAAAAACCAAATCAAAGTTAACTACAAAGGATACAACAACAATGATAGCAACAAATGACTCGGCAAAATTAAAATGTATGCTAGTGAAATTTAATTAAATTTACTTTAATATAAAACCCAGAACTTTCACTTAGCTTCAATTATTTCACACTCTGATGCTCATAAGCACTTTTTATCACTACTTTAACACAGAATTAGCACAATGAACTTAGTAAGTAGAAAGCCAAAATCAGAGCACAATAAAGTACAACTTCACAGCTTGACGTTTGCAAAGTAGTTTTCAACCAATACTTCCCATTTTGGTAATAAAAAAAGTATCAAATTTTTTTACTTCAAATGCTAAGTGTTTGGGAAATTTATATTAAATTTGTACTCAGTAATATTTATATTGCTATAGAGAACTTATATTCCAAAAATTGCGTTTATATCTGCAAAACCTAAGTTGCTACAGCACAATATTTACTGTTTTTTCTACGACCAAAAACGAATTGGTTGCTTATAAAAAGGAATCCGTCGGTAAATTTCGGATTTTTTCGTTGAAACGCCACATCTTTCCTTGAAATCGCTTCGTTACTTCTCGTACAATAAGCGTTTTAGTGAAGCAACAACATTTGAGCAAGGCATCCATACCGTAACGTAGGACGTATTTTACGTAAAAAATCATGTTAGGGGCTTAGTTTGCCCATTATTTTGGCTCTTATATACCGAACGCACTTTTTTTTTTGAAAATGCCAACCTAATATTCACGCACGCCGCCAATTTATTGTCAAAAATTTCTCATGCACATGCGACGTGTATGGGACCAACCGAAATTGAACGGCGTGCGTATGAAGCTAAATTAAATTTCCCATTTTTGCTCTGCGTGACATTTTGATTTGACGTTTTGTTCAATTAAATCAAATGCAAACGCATGCAAGTAATTTTCGGGTGACACATAAAAACAAATTCGACGGCATGCGTACCAAAACGCAACGCACCGCAGTATATATTTTACTCTATAGGCGTAAGGCCATATGGAAACACCCGTTTGTTTTTTGCCTGAATTTCTTGTTTTATACGCATATTGTAATTATCTAAATGAAGATCTTAATTTAACTAATTTTGTAAAGTAGATTCCCTTTCTAGTCCCTTAGTTGATATCATATAGAATGTTTCTTTAAACAAAAGACTTCAACAAAGCGACAAACTTGGCATGTACATATGAATGTGCATAGTAAGTTTCCCTCAATAAGTCTCAGAGTTATATAAATGAAGAGAGATAGAGAGCGCAAAATACATTTAGGGGCTTCACAACATGTATTAATCGTTGTAAAATCTAAAGTTTACATAATTTTAATGTAAAATAACTTTTAAAATGGTTTTATCAGTTTAAAAACTTTTCGTTGCGGTTCGAAATCCTCTTAATCCATTTTAATCAATATTTTACATTAAAAAAATGTTAAGCTTAAGATTTTACGACGGTTAACACGTCTTGCGAATCCCCTAATTGTAAGAGAATCGAAACGTCTAATAAATATCGGTTTTATTTGTATACGAAAATGTTCGACTGATCCTAGGTTTTAATTTTTACTTAAATGATTAAAAGCTCGGACACTTAAGCTTACGCTATTTCAAGCATGTGCGAGTATAAATATATACATAGATACTAATAATCTCTTATCCGAAACTACTACATTGCATGATAGTGGTTGTAAAATTATTGAGCAAAGTACAACCTGCTGAGCTGGTTTTATTTTTCAACACTACAATGTTCAATATGCAACCGACGTCTTGTCTTCAGTCTTTCAGAGACATCGGTGGCATCGTACGCCAAGTGGTTTTGCTCGCTAAAGTTATATATCGTATTTCATCTGTATATATAAGTTTCAAAATTATTGTGAATCTCGAAAAAATCTTAAAAAATTTCTTAAGCTGAGGTAGTCTATGTGCATTATCGAGTAGTACTCAATGTGTTGAAAATACTTTAGTTAAAAGCAAAATCAATGACTAGAGTCCGTAAATATATGAAGACAGTTTCATGTAACCACATTTTCAAAACGGCCACGGCTTAACATTTTCACTTTTGTTCATTTATTTATGTGCATGCCAGAGTATACATACATACTATATAAATATGTACATATCTCCATATGTATATGTGTATATACACATGTATGTAATTAGGAATAAGTGCATTAAAATTCAGTGTTTAACTTTAAGAAAGACTTATGTACTACATACATATGCATATGTATGTGTGAATTGCGAGTACATATAAAGTATCTATGCAAGTGTAAGCTTTAATAAAAATAGGCTTAAATGAAAATGCTTAGACTTACATATGTACATTTACGTTATTTATCCAAACTGAGCTTTCAGTCTCATTTTGATAACATTCGATATATGTACATAAATAGCTTTTGTGTATATTGTAAGATTAAATAAAAAGTGCAGAAAATTGAATATATACTCATATGGATATGTGTACATGTGTTTGTACACATACATATATGTATATATTTAGATATGTTTTTGCAGATTAATTGCGAATAAACACATTACTTAAAACTTCGAAATATATGTATGTAGTGCAAGGTACCTCTTATGCATGTGCATAAATGTGCTTACTAGAGTATCCAGAGAGATAGTCCAAAGTCTTTCCAATCTCCTTTTCGTGCGTCAAGATCATTCTCTGAAATGACACTTAGATACATACATAAATAAAAATGTCTTCTCTTAGTAACTATCGCAAATTAGTATATGTATGTATGTATATCTATGCAAGTATCTAAATACAGTTAACAAATTTTAGATATGTACATATATTTCAGCTTATTTGCGAACGTACATACCTACATACATATGTACATAAGTACGCACAGACATTACGTTCGCAAATAATTGCCCTTAAAGCAATTTATTAACTGCATATGTATGTACATACATACATATGTACATACATATTTACCTCCATTTGTACATATCGCAATTTATGAGTAAATCCAATGTTGAAATGCTTCTTGATCACCTTGGAATTTGATTGCACATCACTTTTGGCTTTCTTCTGTATAGCTTGTTTATTTATTATTTTTTACGACTTCTTATACTACGTTTACATACATTGGTATGCCTATAAACAATATACATACATACATACATACATATACGCAGGCATATGCACACCCGGGAAGCCAACTCGTGTGGACATTTTTTGTGGGGAATTTCAGTTCGTTCAATTCTAGTACAACAAAGTTTCAAATGGCTAAAAAGTACCGTTGATTTTTTAGAAATTTCTTTGTCACATTTGCTTTCATGAACCGAATAAATACAATTTATTTTTATATGGAAGAAAACCGCAACAGCTTCGGCAAAAAAATTTTGAAAATGTTTACCCACTTGAAACTTGCACTAGAATTGAGTCAGTTAATAAACTGCATACTCAAAATCTTTCTAGAAAATCTAATTAAAAGTGGAACCTTTTACGAAAGTTTTTTTTTTTTTTTTAATGATGCAAAAGGTGTGAGACTTGTATTTATATGGGTTTCATTAAAGAATGAACTATATATTTATAAAAAATAACTCAAATTAAATAACAAAAGTAATAATTGTGAAAACTTGGTCAAATTTGGTGCGACTAAAATTTTTTCGGCCACTGTATGTAAGTAAATATTATATAAACATTTTTTATTTGTTAACTAACTTTTTAAAAGTTTAGTTGGGTTAATGAATTCATAATAAAATAAACAGAAAGATCAGCAATATATTAAAATAGATGCATTTGTTTTTGTAAACAAGGAGATATCTGGAGGTGGGTGGGGAATTTTACGAAATTTCGGGAAAAATCAGTGAATTCCATTGTCGAAATCGGGGAATTTTTAAAAATGAGTTGGCTACCCTGATGAACACATAGATTTTTTTTGTTGTAATTATCACTCTTAAGCTTCTGGCGACGTTTGAGCTCAAACAAAATATGCCCAGTTCGAAAAATCACACCTGAGTCATGGGCTCGAGTAAAGCGTGATTAGGATACAAATCGTTTCATATCAACTACATAATGTACCACTTACAACTTTAGACATAAATAAATAAATAAATACATATAAACAAATATATATAAAATAGTAGATTTTAAAATATTCAAAAATTCTCGCAACAACGTTTTCGACATTTCAAATAATATATTTTAATGTTTGCTCATTTGTGACCCCGGTCAAGGTAGTTAATATACATAAATACATATGTACATGAAAATTCAGCTTTTGTGGGACCTTGGACTACTGTTTTTATATATTTCCCTGTGCGTATTTCATACATGCGAATATCTTTGTACGCTCATCTTCATACATACATACAAGTACGTATGTATATATCGTTACCTTAATTCACAAAGGCACTCACCAACAATCTTTTCATTTTACAGGAGAAGCAAAAAACATTATAAAAGAGTATCAAAAACAGGTAGGGCTTTTTAAAAAATGGCATGTAACTCCGTTGGTTTCGGTACTTTAAAATGTTTATTGAAGGTGTATTTTAATACATCCATCCAAAATGTGTTGGGTAGGGCCTTCGTGAATTAAGGTAACGATATATATGTGTATATATGTATGTACCTCTATGGTTATATTTAGATACTACAATGAATCATATGTGGGTTTGCGATAATTTCTAGTTCAAGGGACTAGCAAAGTATTACGAGTCATCGGGATTTTCGAGTTATCGAAATTACGAGTTATGTATAACAGCAAAAAAACCAGACCAGTTGTTGAATATGAAAAATAATCAGTTATTCAAATGGAAGTGAGGGTAGATGGAGGGATTTTATGTTTATTGCAATAGCTTATTTTCGCCTTTTGCATTTATAATTTCTTGTATTGTTAAGTTGTTGGCAGAGTGTTACAACTGCGTTTGGAGATTTTAGACTGAATTTGAGTAAATACGCACACAAACGAAACGTATTTTTAACTGCGCAAAAAATCAAATGAAACAACTTTTTAATGTACCAAGTTTATACACCTAAATAGACTCAAAAGCAGAAAATAAGTTTTCTGAGACTCATAGCGTTTGGTTTGATATGTTATTCGCATAAAGCTGAAAATTGGTAAAAATGTTGCGAGCACCGTTATAAATGAAACGTGAAAAGTCCCCATCTACCCCACATCGACAAAAAATTTATTCAAACTCAAAGGTCAGATAAATTACTTTTGTGAAATTTTCAGCCGCTTGGCTTAATAATAGGTTAGAGAAAACTGTATATCATGAAATTTACTATATTGTGATGATACTTTTACCCAGCTTCAAATGTCCGCAAATCCCATTCTCCCATGAAAAAAGCCCTGTTTATCCCATTTTAAAATTCAAAAATCCCATTTATAAGTATTAAATATGTTTGTAGTAATAATATATATAAAGAGTATTTATAGCAGTATTTCGCTTTTCTTGCGTTGAACATGGCCATAGAGTTGTCTTTTCGGCTATAAACACAGCCGTAATGCGACTATCTCTGATACAGTATTTTTTATCAAGTTAACAAAGTCTTTCTGTGTATTGAAGGTGAAAATGCAAAAAAATAATTATTCAAAAAGAAGGTAAAATTCATGCACTTTAAAACAGTGGTTAGCTAATCCTAAACTACGTTTATGGAAAAGTTGTCAGCGTTCAGAGAAATGCTTATTATAAGTCCTACCTGTCACAGCAAAATATGTTTTTTAACATAACTTATAAATACGTTAGCTTCCCATTGTTTAAATAAGGTCCTTTTAATAAATATTCATATCAAATCAGTAGAGTTCATTTACTCACGAACTGTGTGTCCTCCATAGTGACTCGTCCCTCCCGTCACCAGCTAATTTTTTTTTTTCAAATATGATAATGCCCTCAAAGCAAAAAAAGGACAACATTCTATTAATTACATTTGAAAAAGCCGCTTTGCACGAAATATTTTGATATACATACATAATAATAATATGGGTATTCATGAAAACGCGTAAATGTCCCGCAGCCGCGTAGACCTCGTAAATAAACCGATTTTCCGTACAAAATAAATCAGGTTTACGAGGTTTAAATTCCCCTAATAATATATTGGGGCGCTTACACATATGCGTGCGTGAATATGTTGTTACAAAAGGGGAGGGACCTACAGTTTACTCCGACTCCGGACGGTGATTGTATTTTCATGAGAAGCTGTTTTAGTGGCAGAAATACGATCGGAGGTTTGCCATTGCCTGTCTGGGGGCGACCGCAGTTAATAAAAAACTTTGTTGCTTTGACAAGGGTTTGAACCCAGGTCCTGCGGAGTGGTAGCGCCCACTGCTAACCACTACACCACAGCGGTCACATAGTTTGTATAATCGTGATTTCGTTTCTTCCAAAATATGTTGCCCTTACCCGATGCAAAATGTGTTTTATGTTACAATCAACCCTGTAAAAAGGCATTTTTTTGCCTTCTGTCTGTCTGTTTTCCTTGCCTAGATCACACATTTCATAATATTCTCGTTTTAAATAACCAGGTTTTCAGGGCAACCATCTCCCTTACAAAGCTTCACAGGGCCTTCTTTGCCTTACAAGGGTGTCACATTTTAAGAAACGAACACACTATTTTCTCACCCTTTGCCTTTAACACTAGAGCACACGTGCTCTTTTTTACACCATGGCACGCGTGGACTACTATAGTAGACCATTTAAGAATGTCAAAAAAATGTTTTTTTTAGAAAACATTTAAATGAAACATATAGTTAAAAACATATACTTATCTATTACGCTTGCGATAAGAAACTCAAATTTTTCACAGAAAGTAGGAATTTTAAATAAAAATAATTTAATTATGTAATAGAAAACATAAGAATAATTTTACTTCTTAGATCAATGTCTTACATTTTCTTCTTAAAGCAATAATACTTAAAAAACTATAAGTTTTCGTAACATTGAGTGCCCGCCGCAG